TTTAGTAAAGTTAATAGTACAGCTACTATTTAATACATAATTAAATTTATACATTAAATTTAATACAATAAATCTTAAACCTATTCCGCAAATTGCTTTTGGTTTAACGATAATATACAATTAAACTTATATACTAAATAATAATCTTAGCAAAGTTAATAGTACAGCTATTTAATATATAGTTAAACTTATACATTAAATTTAATACAAAAAATCTTAAACCTATTCCGCAAATTACTTTAGCAACGCACGCAAATCTTACAAATAAAAAATTATTGTCCTATACTTAAATATAACCACTTTTACAACTTCTAACGCACGCAAGAAATCGAAACTTATATATCTTATTCTTAATTCTAATCCGCATGACCAATAACTTGCTTTCACACATATATATGCTCGTTACTTTTTTACACCAAGACACTACCGTCTCCTGATTACTCCTGTATGACATTGTTCTTATTTTCGTTAATCAGTTTCTATTATATATACCTATAACAGCAAAATGGCAGATTTCAGATCATTAATTTTCTATTGCATAATATAAATATTTGAATATTCCTTTGTATAAACTCAATATTTATTCGAACATTCGCGTGATACGTAGTGCGCAACGAAATATTTAATACGAATTAAAATCTTATCGCAGACAATAAAATGTATATGACCTGAAATCTGCCATTTTATTTCATTATATACAGAACTGAAAACTACCTTTTGATCAACAACTTTAATACAACGTTAAACTTTCGATCACCCATTATAATTTAGATAAATAAAATCCAAAAGTGAATAAGTATAACTCTAAAAAATGTAAGAAATAACAAATAAAAAAATATTAATAAGAATATATACAGCACCATACGAACGAATATTGTGTAATTTAAACCTATAATATTGTTTTATTTAATTAATATTACATTGCATACCGTGCTGTATTCTCAGTATACTTTTAATATACATTATTATAATTTCCAAAGTCCTACTTATATATAATTGGATCTTTTTTACATTGCAATTGAATAAAAAGTCAGGTATATTAAAGTTTCTGTTGAAAAGGTAGTTTTCAAATCCATATATAACAGCGAAATGGCAGATTTCAGGGCATTAATTTTCTATTGCATAATATAAGCGTTTGATTGAATATTGCATTGTATAAACTCAATATTTATTTGAACGGTCACGTGATACATAGCGCGTCAATTAATATTAATTTAAATTTAAAAATTTACAAATGGGTTTGTAACTACCACAGCACATATTTTTTCTTTTTATGATATAGCAGATTTCAGAACCTATACTTTTATACAAAATTTTATTGTTATTCTTACTTAATACTTCAATATGTCATTTATTATAACTTACATTTGGCATAAGTTTTCATATACTATTAAATAGAAATTAGTAATATTAATAAAATTTGCTCTTTTTATTAAAAATTTATAGTGTCTGAAAAAGTGTCTTTTCACTGAAAAAATAATTTGATGAAATGGCAGATTTAAAGTCTTGAAAAAAAATGATACATATTTGTATTAATTATTTTATTTTATAACACGAAATTGATCTGAAACTATTAGTGAGTGTCAAATCTAAGAAATATAAACATTAAGTAGTAAAGAAATTGTTGCATTACTTAGTAATAAGGACGTCCTTATAACTGCCACTCCACATGAATTATTAAATATTTTAAATAATATTAATTTTTAATCAAATTTAATACTGGCAACGTCTTTTAAACATGTTTCACTATATTAATATCCATTAAAATCATATGCTTAGAAAATGACCTGAAAACTGCCTCTTCACATACATA